GAGCCGCCAGCTTCTCTAGGAGAATGCGTTGTTATGAGTTGTTGTAGAATCTGTTTTTACAATGTTTAGATGATTTGAATTTTCTAGGATCTGACTTGGGTGATCTTTAATTTCTGGAATCTAAAATAGCCCTTCGTGGATGGAATGAGGAAGAGTTAAACTTTCAGAGACATGGTTCCATTTTGTAGCCCAATTAAAGATGTTAAAATATAAAAAAAATTCCACTAGGCACTGAGAGATGTTGGCGGTTCCAGTTAGGGATGCTCACAAAGACGCACAGACTTACACAACATTTAGACATAACAAAACAGGTAGAATAGTAAAACAGTTGTAGTAATAATAATTAAAAAAAAAAAAAAAGAAATACAAATTATAGAAAGGATGGAAAAAGTCCTTAATTTTTTTTGTTGTTTTCCCCCCCACACCCAATTCTGGTCCTGCCATCCTTTCCTCTGCCGGACTCCCTAGCAACATCAATGGTTGTGAGCTTGGATGTCTAAAGCTGTAAAGATCCTTTTGCTTTTACAAGATTTTTCCCACACGGCAGTGCCTCTGAAAACAGCTGTTTAATTAGCAGTCTCTGTCCCTGTTCTTGCTGTGTCTCTCCCTGTCAGCTGCTGAGTTTTCACATTTGTGTTAGTTTAGTATAGCTGCTCCTGAAGTCCTCTATCATCTTGTCTGAGCATGTAATTATAGTTGGACATTTCCAGCCTCTGCTAGGAGCTTGATAGTTTATTATGAAGAATTACTGTAACTGACAGACAAACCAAGTCATCTGAAATGTTGCCAGTAATGATTCTAACCATCATATAGTTGATTTACAGCACTTCTAAAATGCTGTGATTTTCCTTCTTTTTTTAATAAAAGCATGTGTCTTTCAAGTATTTACAGTATGGTGGGCTTTTAAGGAGTGGCAAGCTGGGGTAAAGATTTTAGAGCTTCATTTAGTACTTTATGTGGAATAGGCTTTTTAAACATTTTAAACTTCTCTCAGACAAATTAAACTTGCCTCTTGGAAGTTGAATATGTTTGAGCGATCAAGAGGCTTGTGACCTTCCAGACTAGGCACTCAAGATTTCTCTTGCAAATTTTGTCAAAATCTAATTGAAATTGTTACCTCTGGTTTAGGAATTTATGAAGAAACTGGAAGAGAAAAAGGTGGAACTGAATAAAGCAACAGGCATGGGAGAAGCTATCTTAGCTATCTGCCACCCAGACTCCATCACCACCATTAAGCACTGGATAACAATCATCAGAGCCAGGTTTGAAGAGGTCAGTGTATGTCAAGCCATCTTCATTGCAACAGTCCATCTTTGACTGGAACGTAGCTGAGAGCTAACATGGTTGTTGCACTGGGAGGAAATGATCCAGCTGTTGAGAACTAAACATTTAAAATACCTGCAGTGATGGATGTGAATACCATGCTTCCCTAGGTTTTATTTTAAAACTTCTAGGGCTTTAAGAACTAAAGCAATGGTCAAGCTTCTTTGTTTGTATGTATTAAAGGAAATACTGCCTGACACTTTCCACGTGAAGAAAGCCAATAGTTTTTAGGGAGAAACTTAAAAGTTAGAAAGGAAAGAAAATACAGGTTGAATACAAACTTGAAGCATTTTCTGATTGCATTAGGGAGGATTTCAGTCCAACATGTTGCTAATCTAGAAGATTTCCAAATGATTTAAGTGGCTACAAGTAGGTCTCAGAGGGTGTACCACACTCTCAGCTGATAAGGTGGTATCTTCTGTGTATATTAAGTTTAAAGAAAAAAAAAAATGCTGGTGTTAGCAAAGTATGGCTTCAGGAGTGCCCAGGAGGAAGATGGACACCAAATCCTGCGTGATTCACTAATTTATACACATTGTTTGATAAAGTTCTTAATATGTTGCCTGAATGTGCTATTTACTGCATTTAACAGCACCTAATCCTGAAAATCTATGGAAAAAAATGTGGTGTTGAACTAGGAATTCTAGTTACCTAGGACCTTTGGTGGTCAGCCACTACATCTAGCACCTTTGATAATCAAACATCAATAGGCCTGGGAGGAAGCTCTGGGTTTACAGTTAGCAGAGCTATTTTAAATACATTTTAAAGAATTTCAGATATGCGCATACTCATGCATTGGTTCTTTTATCAAGGTCTTAGCATGGGCTAAACAACATCAACAGAGACTGGCAGGAGCTCTGGCTGGACTTATTGCTAACCAGGAATTGTTGGAAGCCTTGTTGTCCTGGTTGCAGTGGGCAGAGGCTACACTTACTGAAAAAGATAAAGAGGTTATCCCCCAGGAGATTGAGGAAGTTAAAGCACTTATAGCCGAACATCAGGTAAGGCATGTTAAGTGACATGTCCCCTACATGTTCCACAAATGGTGCTCATGTCTCAGCTAGGCTTCATAATCGAGTGTGAATCTCTTTAGCTATTTTCTCTCCTAATATTCGAATCCCTTTTCAGATACTCAGTTGTTTGTATGTGTACGATGTGCTTGTAGTTTATTCAACACAGAGGTAAAAAACCAACCAAACAAAAATTGAGTTCCACATTGTTCTAAAAGCAAACCTACAATTCCCCATAGGAACAAGGATGATGATGATGATGATGATACTAATACTACTAATAATAATACCACCACATGAAATACATGATAGTGCTGCTTCCTTAGAACTAGTGTTGCAGTGTGTCTTCACTGACTGGATTTCAAAAATATGTTTATGAAGTGCCAGAGGGAGCTGCTGGTGCAGTGAATGCTCATAGGCTTATCCCAGCTTACACACCAGAGCTGTCTCACTTCTATGAACTGCAGTCTGGACAGCAAGAAACACCTGAGTACTCAGAGTCAAAATTCTGTTGTACATCATCTCACCATACGCAGTTAATAAAGGAGTTTGACAGACTGGTTTTTTAGATTTAGCCTTCCTTTAACAGCCAGGCCATAGTGGTCTTAAAAGCTTATACTGCTGATTTTTCTTGCGCACGAAACCTTTAGCTGTGTCTTTTTGTGAAGCTGGCATTATAAGTCTTTCTGTGCCATTCTTGTAACTCTGGTGTTTTCTGTTGTACGTGTTTTTCATTCCTGTGGTCACTTTTGTGTGTTGTTAATTAAAACCACCTCTATCTGATTGCAGACATTCATGGAGGAAATGACCAGAAAACAACCTGATGTGGATAAAGTTACAAAGACCTATAAAAGAAAGGCACTTGAACCCACTCCAGTACAATCTCATATTCCTGTCCTTGATAAGGGGAGAGCAGGAAGTAAGTAATGAAGTATTTTGGGGCAGGTCACACACACCATTGCTCTATCTATAAAGATAACAGATTACTAATAATCTAATAGGTTTGATTAGCTTCTAGTAAAATAGGATGAAATTCTCTTGGCTGGTTTTTCTAATTATCTCTCATTTTTCATTGTAAGGAAATTTCTCATAGCAGACTTGTATTTTTAAATTTTGTCCTATACTTCTTGAATACCTATTTTTAAAGTGTGCAGCCTTTCATGTGCTATTAAACTTCCAAGAGTGTGCACATGCTGAGTTTTTGCAAATCTACCGTCATCTGAAAGTGCAAACAACTTCTTTTACAGAAAGATGTAGAGACAAAGTTTTGCTCTTACTGTCTATGAAATTATATGGAACCAATTAGAAAGTGTGTTCAGTGAAGTTGAATGAAAGTGTATCATCAAGCGAGGAAGTTGCTTTTTGTATTTTTAGATGTACTTACCCATTGTATTTTATACATACCCATGGAACCTGCTTCTAAAATCTCTCTGAGAGATTTGCAAACATTTTATTTAACTTGTGCAGCTTCACTAGTGCAGCCACTACTAGCTGCTTCTGGCTAGACAAAAGATACTTTAACCACCATGTGGTCCTTCCCCAGCAATGGTTAAAAAAAAAAAAAAAAAAAAAAAGAAAAATCCCATTAGATGGAATCATATCAGGATATGGGCTTATTATTTGGGACAGGAAGGAGTAGTTTTAGAAAGGTCAAGTACCCTTCATGTGAATGTTTGTTTTGTTTGAACTGGGTGAGACTTACACATTTTATCATGTTTTAACAGGAAAGCGTTCCCCAACACCAGGCATATATCCGTCAGCAGCCCAGGCGCAAATCGAAACCAAGAATCCACGGGTAAATCTTTTAGTCAGCAAATGGCAGCAAGTCTGGCTTCTGGCCTTGGAAAGAAGAAGAAAACTTAATGATGCTTTGGACAGACTTGAAGAGGTCAGAAAAATGTACACAATATACATACTTTTTGTTTACCCTGGATTAAATTGTCAATACTGTAAATAACTTCCTTATTTGTTGTATTATATTGTATGATACAGCTAACAGAAAACACTGTGATACACATGCTTTAATGTGCTTTAAAAGCTGTCATTGTCATTTTAAATGTCAGGAGAGTTAAGATGTTTAAAATGTTTATATAGATTCTCAAAGAACCAATTACTCAAAAGAATGCAGATGTGTATCTCTCATTGATTTTCTAGATTGATTGATTTCAACTGAAAAAAGTTCTTTCTCTTTTTTATTAAGCTGAGAGAATTTGCCAACTTTGATTTTGATATTTGGAGGAAAAAATACATGCGATGGATGAACCATAAGAAGTCTCGTGTGATGGACTTCTTTAGGAGGATTGATAAAGATCAGGATGGAAAGATAACAAGACAGGAATTTATCGATGGAATTCTTTCTTCAAGTAAGTTTTAAAATTAACTTAATGTTGAACTTGGAACAAACATCTCATGAAGTCTTGCTGTCTATATAGTGTACCCTATGCGGTTTATTGTGTTGCAAGGTCTCAGATTTCCCTTTTGAAGTCATTAATTATGATTCATTTAAACTATAATTATTTTACTTGAAAATATTTCTAGATTCTAGAAACTCTTTCTAGTTCTTTTACGTTGTGAATCAGATTACAAATGTCACATTTATGTTATTGGCTAATTTATAGTTTATTGGACTCGGATTGTCATTCCTACAGTACACTAGCCACTTCAACAATTACTTTTCATTGAGTAGTCAGAATAGTAAAATGTACCTTGTAAAACCTATAGATAATTTTCAAAATCAGTTCATATAATCATATGATTTTTGTTAAAGAACTTACATGGAATAGTTTCAATTATAGAAGGAAACCATATAATTTTTGAAAGCAGTGTTTCCGTGAACCATGACCATGTTCATATACCTGTTTAATGAGGATCAAAATGTCAAGCAATGAGACTAGGAAGGGACTTTTCCTAGCTTTCCTGATGAATTGGTATTCCTTAGGTATGCACAGTTGGTGGTAACGTAAGCATTCCACATCTTGTCTGTGTGTGATCATGTTTCCCTTTAGCAACTGACTCATAACAGATAAGGGCCTACTACTTAAAATAATCCTTTATCTTCAGATCATAGAGACTATTGCTTTGAGCAGTGAAGATTCAGAATTGAGCTGCTTTTAGCATCTCATGTTAAAGTAAAAGGAGAATATCGTAGTGTATATATTTTCCCCCTGCTTTAGGAAATGCAGTAATATAGTCACTATATGTGCACATTGCTGTTTTGCATTAATTGACAGAAGTTGATGAAAAAACCCTGATAGCACCAAGAGGTTAAACAGCTTACTCGTTTAATTCAGTTGGTATCAACTTGTTATAACTGCTAAATACTCATGATTTAATCCCTGTTCACCATCTTGAAATTTTCTTTGACTGTTTCATAGAGAATCTCTGTGTGGGTTAATATTCTGCTGCTGTGAACTTGATCTAAAGAAGGATTTCACGAAACACCGTGCATGTTTCTGCAGTGGGAAGGCCTTGCATTCCAAATTTAATTAGCAGTGAAATTCTCACTTGACCTTTCCTCACTAACAATTTATCTTGTTAATCTGTGGTATTTTCTGCACTTTGAAGGTCAAAATGTGAAAAAAAACCCCATATATCTTACAGTTTAATCTGTGCCCTCGCTTCTGTGTCTCTCTCTAAGCCACACTATGATAGTCATTTTAATCCAATTTCTAGGTAACATTGGAGATCCAGATTGTTTTTTCAGAAAGATTCCTTCACTCTTTTGAATGTCATTGGTTTTTTGATAAGCATTGTCTGTCACCTAGTGCTTAAAAACCTTTTAATATTTGTGATAAAGCCTTTCATTGTAATGGGATTGAAAAGCCAAAAAACTTAGCTTTTGTTGTTGCCTTTGTCTTACAGAATTCCCAACAAGCCGACTTGAAATGAGTGCAGTTGCAGACATTTTTGATAGAGATGGTGACGGATATATTGACTATTACGAATTTGTGGCAGCTCTTCATCCAAACAAGGATGCATACAAGCCTCTCACCGATGCAGACAAAATTGAAGATGAGGTACAGTCTCTGCTTTCTTAGATTGCACTCTATTCTACTGGGGTCACGTTCTTTAATAATTAATTTTATTTTCACTCCTATATAATTTGAAGTTTACCAGTTACACAAATATTTAGAAATGTGGTATTAACAGTAAAGTAATCATCCAGTTGTGGTTTCTTGCAGGTAACGAGGCAGGTAGCTAAATGTAAATGTGCAAAACGGTTTCAAGTGGAACAGATTGGGGATAACAAGTACAGGGTAAGTCTTCTAAGGACCTTCTTAGTTCTTTCAGCTTAATGATTCTTCGTATGACATGGTTATGCAAGGAATTAGGCTATATTAATTTATAGGAATTTTGTATGACAATTATATCTTTTATTACTTTGTCTAAATTTTATGGTTTTTTTTCTTGTTAGAACATATAGGCTAAAAATATGGGAAAACACTGCTGCTTGTATTTATTTTCACTGAAACGACTGAAACTCTTTTCAATGTATGGGAGTTTTTAAAAGCTAACTGCATGCGTACATACATATGCACATGCATACATACATACAACAGTTCCTTAAAAGTCAATCTTTTTGCCTGGATACCCAAAGTGTTTAAACTGTAGCTGATTTTCTATTAGTTTCATAAAAACAGTGATATTTTCCTGTGGTATTGTGTTGTACTGTAAAAATCTTTTACCAAAGCGTATTCAATCACTTTTATCCTCCCTTATCATTTTATTGGAGCACACTGTTCCTTCTGAAGAAGTACAAGAAATGTGTTCAATACCTGTAGAACAATTTTAGATCACAGAAAAATAAATATCACATTGTAGAGAAAGATCTGCTACCCCTAGATTCAATAACCAGAACAATTTCAGATGAAAGATGCAATATTTGGCTAAGAGAGTTTGCTAAATACTTCTAGATTATTTTAAAAGACCACAGAAACAGCAATGGGAAGGAAGCAAACGCCTTGAATATTTTCCAACATTCAGTCTCTGGAAGGCTAGGTACCTGCTCGTCTCTGAAGTAGATACTTTATTTAGAATGTCTAATGTGGTAGTTTGCATGTGTTCTAGAGTCATATAGAGAATTTCCTGTAAACTAATCGTGTCTTTCTTCCATTTTTCATTTCTTATCAGTTCTTCCTGGGAAATCAGGTATAAACCAGTGGAATGTGTTATGAAGTTTCTTTTTTTTTTTTTTTCTTTTTCCCTCTTTTTTTCTAACGCATAGTGATTTAAGCTTGCAATGGTCAGTCTTCTCACCATCCTTTCATCTTCAGCTAGTTCATTGCTGGTCAGCTGGGGTATTTTTTTAAATGCCATGGAGCATTCCTTGTCTCAGGATCCCTCCTCTTCAATCCCTCACCTGCTTTCTTTGGCCATTTTCCTCATTAAGGAGATTACTTTTAAAGGAACCAGATAATGGTCAGCAGCAATTCCCATAGTAAAAGATATTGAGCGTTTAAACTGCAATTTTAGAATTACTACTGTTTCATCAGTTTTCAATTTTATAGTGGAATGCTTCAAAATTCTATGTTGTATTTTTTAGGCTAATCACAGTAAACACAGATCCCAGTGTCACATCACTTATTTATTGCAAATTAGGCAAAAAATACTTTCATTTTCAGGAAAAAAAAAATCTCTGTGCAATCAAGCAGACTAATTAAGAACCTAGCTGATTGTTGGTATTTTATATACTAGCGCAGTGAATCATGAAATACATATTTTGGAAATAGGCAAATTAAACTTCCTGTTCCAGTTTAGACTACTCCCTCTCCCAAAGTGTTTTCAAAGAGCTGTGGCAGCTCTCTAATGTATTGAAGAATACTTTTAGTCAGTTGGGTCATCAGTGAGTCATACCGCAGCGGCACTGTACAGTGGTACAGGGAGGATACGATGACCAGTGCTCACTTACTCCTGTAAGTGATACACAGGTTCTTAAATTGTTAAATCATGCTTGCCTGGTAAGAATGGAAATACTTGACACAACCTGGATACCATTAATATCTTATTCATACTCTTATAAAGGCAATAATATGTATAATCCATTCTGGAAATGCTAGTGTTAACAGCATTAGCCATTTTAAATCTAGAGATGTTGAAAATGTAGTTGCATTCTTATTTATTGGCAAAGCCTGTTGAACTATAGAAGAAAGCACAAAGAGCAGCAGATAATCTTACTACATGCCTTAAGCAATATATCTAAGTAGTAATTTAAAATGTTTTCCACATATAGAACAAGCCTCTATTTGAAAAGACTATTTGAAATTATGTTAATTCTCTTATCTGCCATCTGTACTTTCAGATCTGGGAAAAATAAAGCATTTTTTGAGAGCATCTAACTCTTACTGGTGCAGAACAGCTTCATGAAATCACCTGCAGCAAGTTGGCTGAGGCTTCTCTAGTGACAGTGATGTTATATGGCTATTGTCAAGAACAGGCCTTTTTGTAGCTTAAACGAGACTTCCTTTACATTTTTATTCCAGTGTTTTTACCTCTGATTATTTGAAACAACGGTAAATACTGTTCAAGGAAATTTGGTGTCCAGATTATTTTAAGAAGGAAATGGACTGAGTTACCATTAGGAAAAATGCCTTGATAGATACCTGTGTTATTTTCCGGGAGCCCCACTGTCTGAAATAACCACAGCCTAGGTAGGCAGTTTCCAAAGGATACTGTATCTGACCCTGATGGGGTCTAACTGAAGGTCAGCTGCCTGATGGGGTCTAACTGAAGAATTAAGCTGGGATGGGGAAAAAATAAAGAAAAGAAAAGAAGATAGTATCTTTAGAACCTCTAGAAAAAATTCTCTTTAGAAACAAGCCAATAAAAATAAACAGCATCAATTTGGATGCCATTTCTTTTTTTAACTTTGATCCACATATGTGAAATGGTTCTTTGTTCGGCACATATTGAATGCATTATTAAAAAGCCCGTACAAATAATGCTCATGTGAATGTTCTTATTTATAACAAAAAAAATTATTATTGAATTAAGCGGCAAGCTTTGCTTTTGTTTGGTTCCTAAAAGTAATATTCCTTTAAACTTACTCTCTCTTCTTGGCTTAAGTAGTACCAAACAACTAAAATCATTTAACAAGTAGGGAGCATGTTTGTGTGGTTTGCATTTTAAGCATTTCAGTCCCCTCACTGGAGCAAGTACAGTTGAACTATGGCCAGCCTTCTCCAAGGGTCAAAGATTGTCCCAAAGAGGTGTATTTGACTCCCGTTGGTTTCAGTGAGTGCTCTGAATGTTTGCGTGTGAGAGCACTACATTTGGCCTGATGATCTGTTATCAAAATAAATTTTTTAGTGGCATTGGCTAAAAAGTACTGAATTCTTCTGGTTAGTTTTCATGAGATCGTGGGGTCAACATTTTGGTCATGTTTTCTTTGATCCGGATTTGAATGGAGATACTGCATACAGATTTTGTTGTACAGGCTTCAAGAGCAAAACATACTTTAGGCCTGGCCATCAGCCCAAAGGAAGAATGGGCTAGTACAAGAATTAGTGTGAAACAGTTTTTGTGCGTCTCTTTATTGTGAAGAACCTGGATGTGTAGACAGAGGAGTGAGAATCAGTTTATAACAAAGGACAGTAATGATAGCTATCAATCATTCATTGCTTCTTTAATGTTCCCTTCCCCACGTGCACCTCACGATAGGTGAGCAGTGTCAACACTATACCTGAAAATATCCCTATAAATGAATCAATTGATAGAACTGTGCAACACTTGTAATACATTGAATTTCCAGCCCACATACTGACCATTTAAAGCGATGCTGCCTTCCTTTCAGCCAACATCATTAAAATCTAACCTGTTGCAGAATAGAGTTTGCTTAAGATTTTAACTGTGAAATAATGCAAATAGGTCTTTGTTGATTTGCACAAACGCAGATCGTAACCAATTAAATAATGTGTTACTAATTTTGCTTCCTTTATGAGCTCAGACATTTGAGAATCAAGCATAAAATTAAACCTGAGATTCTTTCTTACCGTCCTGCCATCTCCTTTGGATTAATGCAGCGGCATCTGATTTGAAATGTTAACAGCTTTAATAATCTGCATAAATAAATCTGATTTTTTAGCATTTACTAATAATTAAATATCAAAATAAACCTTTTAAAGTGTCTGATTTTTAACCTATCGGCATTGAACTGCATCTGAATGACTGAGAACCTGAGACCGTTGTTTGATTTTTATTGCAGTTTGGTGACTCCCAACAATTGCGCCTTGTTCGTATTCTAAGAAGTACAGTCATGGTTCGTGTTGGAGGTGGCTGGATGGCACTTGATGAGTTCTTAGTGAAAAATGATCCTTGCAGGGGTATGTAACGCTGCTGTTAAAATGGACATGCAGATAATTATTTGGATACAGTCACTGTACGTTGTCTCAAGATGGACACTGAATTGTATAAAATGCCAGTTCTGTAAACATCATCTCACTAAATGTCACGTAATGATCTGTTTATGTAAATTTTAAATCCCATGGTTAAGATCCTCTTCACTTGCACTGAGGTATGTCTAGAATAACTGGTGTCTTCTGCGCAGTTCCTCCAGTGTTCTAGTGGTGTAACTAAGAATTGAACTTAGCCCAGATAGAGTTTATGGCATGTAAGCTGCTTGTATGACTTGGCAGAAATAGCATGCAGAAATGTCCAATAAAACCTTCTCAGCAAGAGAGAAGTTTTAAGGCAATAAATCAAAATAAGGCAATTGAATTGAAGAGTAACAACAACACAAAAAAAAATTCTCTGGCCAGTGGCTGCACCCAGGCTTTCAGGCTCTGCCTTTGTAGCCCTGTCTTTTCATTGGCATCCTCCCCAGAACCACTTCGCAGAGCCCTGCGCCTTGTACAAAGCCAGTGGAAAATGCTCTGGTCAGGAGGACATTGTGCTCTGGGGAAGCAGGGAGTGCTCTATCACCATGCCCTCCAGGGCACTGTATCAAATGCATTGCTTTATCAGTACACAGCAACGTAATGACATCTTAGTTTGTCAGAAAGCCTACTTCCGTAGTGGGAAAGTAGGCTCTGTCTGGCACTGTTCTTGGAGGAACAGTTGGAGATGGGAAAGAAGCTGTTTGTGAAGGGAGCAGGAGGGATACAGGTCAAATAATAGCCAGAGTAGTAAAATTGCAGAAAGTGCAATAATGACTGTGTTCAGAGTGAGCTGATGTTCTGTAACCAGGTAATTCTATCCTATTGACTAGCAGCATTAAGTTTACTGCATTTTTACCTCTCAGGAGTTCTATAAAATCATAATCAATATTGTAATAGCGCAAGAACAGCACAGAGGATTTCAGGAGAGGCAAGTGAGCTAGTGAAGACAGAGACATCAACTGTCCTGTACACCTTACTCCACCGTCAGCTGTCTTACACAGCTGTCTCACACAGCTTCTAATTTGGGACCAAGGTTTCTAAACACTTTGATACAGACCTTGAGAGGGTGGAGAGCTTGTATTTGTAGCAATTGTCATGCTAAGTCAAGGATGTTAAATCCAAAAAGAAGCTACCACAAAACCCCATAAGGCCTGACAGTGTGCCACTAAGGCCTAGAAACCTTCGTCTACAGGCTTAAAAGGTACCCATAAAACTTCTTATCATAGTATCATAAAAGAGCTGTCATAACCTTGTGATGACATCTGTGAGTTTTTCAGCAGTATTAAAAATAGTCCTTTTGCTTACCAACATATTGCATATATTGTTTACTAAAGAAATGTAACAGTAATGTTACATTTATTGGTGTTGGACCACAGGTCTAACTGAAATTTAGCACCTGATTCTGCACCTGCTACCATAGGAAAGTCATTTATGCCTGCAGAGCCATCCTTACTTTATGGCTTTCTACTCCTATTCCTCAGAAGTGCACGGTAGTGGAAAATGAAATGTGCCTCAAAATATCTGACTTCATTGAAGGGTTAACTTGGTTAGTTTTGATGTATCCCAAACATTTTTCTCAGGCCTATTGACAGGTAGACTGCTGCAATTCCTACTTGGCTTGACACTGAGAGATACAATACTTAATAACTATCTAATTAATTTATTGGAATTCCTTATTGTTGTCCTCAGATTAAGAGTCTTTTGGAACTTTATCCTCTCTTCTTTAATAAACCTTGTATTCTATGTCTCTCTATGGTATTTTGTATAGTACTTTATCCCTTTTTCATGGGAAATACATCAGCAGATGAGTAAGTCAACACAGTGGGTCTAAAGGAATACCAATCTCTGTAAAATCATCCAGACACAGGACATTGTGCATTGGTACCTAATCCTAGTCTTGTTGAAGTCAGTGATGCAAAGTAGTCATTGATGTCAGTGGTGCAGGTTCAGACGTTTCCTTAAGCACTTCACCTAGCAAATCTGCATTTCCACCAAGGGCTTCTCGTGTATTCAGATAAGTCATTTCAACAAACTGTTGTCATAAACAGCTTTAAAAGTATCGGACCTAGTTATATAAAATAATTTTAGCTTATATTACTTCTTTATGTCAGCAGATAAATACCATTACACAAGTATACTTGGGACTGCAGCTGAGTCTATCCAAGCGCCATTTCCTTTTTGCCTAGGAGACCTTTGAGAACTCACCTCAGAGCACTTAGAGACAGCTTTTGCTCTGAGTCCTGTCTTTGGCCTGGTGCTCTGAGTCTCTTGCATATGCAGCTGCTGTACTTGATTTCTTCTCCTGCTAACGATTTTCTTTAATGTGACCCATGTCCTGTGTCATTTTTTCTAGTTCATCATCACGGGAGTAAAATGTTACGTTCGGAATCAAACTCTTCAATTACCACTCAGCCTACTATAGGTTGGCAAACCCCTCTCTTTGTCTCCTCCTCCTCCTCTTCTCCTCTCTCTTCATTTCCTTCCCACTTTATTAAAATATATACTTTTAACAATATGCTACACCCATCATATTTAGCTTAATGTGTTCCTACATGGGCTGGTGCTTTGCAAGCTAATTTTTTTTGACACGCTTTAAGAGTGTTTCAAAAACAATTGTCATTCACACTGACACAGTTAAATGCTAACATGTCTTGCATCTATTCTTGCAGAACATTCTTTCATATGTGTGTTTGTATGTGTGTGTGAGTGCTTAGCCACCAATTACCTCATCATAGTTTGGATTTTATGTTCATCATTGCATGTTGCCAAACTACATAACTTCATGGTTTTGAATAAATATATTTGCTGCTTTCCTGTAATTTGTACTTAGCAATTTCTTCTGGAACATCCAAGCAAGTATTATTTATTATGAGTAGCAGTAGAGTTAGCAAAACTGCTCATCAGGTTGTGTCTATGTATTAATAGTTGATTTGGTTAACAGTGATTTAGCACGTTGAGCATTCCATTATCACGCTGACTTCCTTTGACAGTGGTTCATTCCTATAAGTGAGTTCTGCACATAACTCTTCTGTGTCCAAAATAAATGCATTACACAGTAATGCATTTTATTTATTATTAAAACGTGTTGGAGTTGGCATGGCAAAAATGACAGTAAACAGCCTTGTGACAATTTTCATACCTGACTAAATGAACACCTTTCTTTGCTGCAGCTAAAGGGAGGACAAATGTGGAGCTGCGTGAAAAGTTCATTTTGGCAGATGGTGCCAGTCAGAGCATGGCAGCTTTCCGACCAAGGGGCCGTAGATCACGACCCTCTTCAAGGGGTGCTTCTCCCAACAGATCTACTTCTCTGTCAAGTCAAGCTGGCCAGGCAGCTGCCCCACAAGCAGTTGCTACGAGTACGCCGAAGGTAAGGAGAAACATAGAAAACTGCACTGGTTAACAAATGGGGTATAGATTTTTTTTGTTGTTTTTCCCCCTTGCTCCAACAATATTGGTGCTTTCCCTAGCTGATAGGGAAGAAGTATCTCAATTTTATTTCATAGTCTGGGGAGGATCTGAGAAGTCTTTTCAGTGTATTTCCTCTACTGTTTGTTTGCAACATGGGAATAGAAGAATACTTTACATTTAAGGTGCCACATGAGCTAACTGGCAATTTGTGAATAAGCTCTGAAAGAGGAATGAACCTCTCCATTTCATTTAAAAAATAAGCTCTGCCATCTCTTCGTTTCAGAACAGTTGTCATCAACACTTTCTGCTTTATTTTTATGTCTACTATGAGATTTGATCTCCCTGTGAAAGCCTGGGTATCCTTCTCCATGACATTGTTTTCCATCTACTGTCCTTCATATTTTGATTTACCATTGTTTCATACAGACACCCCATCATTTAACACGCAACTATGGTAAACCATGGTTGACAAACAGCAAAACGTCAACTCCTTCTAAGCCACCAGAATCCTCAGACTATCAAGGGTCATCTGCAGAGGTACAGTAAGGATAGAGATTCTAGTCTAATGACCTTCCTTCACTAAAACTGTCACTTCACTAACAGCCACTAGAGTTTCAGTGCTTCAGAGCTGCAACATCCTTTGCATATTAATGCATTGTCTTTATTTTAGACCTTTGTCAAATTATTTCTTTCCTCTTTTTTTTCCCCCAAGTCTTTTTTTGCTGTTCTGTTTGTTATGGCTTTTGACTTTTAGGAAAACTCAGCCTCAATGAATTTATGTTTAAAGTGCAAGTTGTTAATAAATCATAACGGTATGCAATGAACTGGATGAGCAAATGTGGAAAAGTACTTTTTTTTTTTTTTTTTTAAAATAAAGCAGTTTATATACTTTGCAGGTTTCTTTCCTGAAATTGTTTACTTTGAGTTCATAATGTACTGTAATATTCATGAACTGCAGGAATGAGATTAATAAATTACGATCTCCAGTGCAAAACCACTAAATAAAGAAATACCCAATCGCTGTGAAGAAGATGGCACAAAAGACTGAAGACTGACTGTGGTATATAAATCTTCCCAACAACTGGAAGTTTCATTTAAGGGGGTAGCGACCAATCGTTTCTCTAATAAGATAGCTATTTGATGACTTCACAGGAAATGAGCTTTGGTCTTATTTCCAGCCCATGAGTTACATAGAAACTGCTAGTATAGCAATTAGGATTGTGCTGGCAATCAAGCTGTATGACCAAAATTTGAATGGGCTTGGAGCCAAAGTGTCTCCTCTAATGTCATTACAGTCAGTGAAAAGATTGCAGATGGATCAGGCTGCAAACTGACTTGTCACTTGTAGGAGTTGCTCTTGCCCTGGGTTAGACGGAGGGCTCAGTGAGGGGAAGCTTGTGCTACCATCACCTCTGTTGTATCTGCTTTTCACATATCTGCGCTTTGATGCCTATTGCTATTCATGTGACACCTTCCGGTGCTAAGTTTACATGACCTTGGTGTGGCTTTGCTCAAAGATGCATAACGAACTTTTCAATCCCTTCTTCTGTGCGAGTGTGTGTGTTACTTGTGCACACTGCAGGTGTGTGTATGTATACAGCTCTTCAAGCACACAGGGCTGTTGCTTAGAATGATTAACAGTAGCACAAAGTTGAGTCAGTTGTCAGTTTCTAATATATTCCTGTATTTTCTTTCATCTCGTAGCTGGTAACTGAATTGTAAGATTAATTGATGGTACTTTAAAGGGTTTATAGACATGGAAAGGTGTTGTTTTTATTGAATTACAATGAGGTGAAAGCAGTTGGCATTGATTTCAAATGGGGGCACTGTATTTCTCACTTGCTCTTAAAACTGCCAGTAGTTTCAGTGAGTTTCTTTTATGTAAGCCGCCATGGCTTAAGATTCTAAATGGAACGATTGGGGTGGGGTAGGTTGCAGTGAATTTCTGAGGCATTCTGCAGCATTTTCTGCCCAAGAGAGCGGTTATGTATGTTATATGTAGACTGCAGTTGGGTTTAGGGCTAAACTGAAGAACAAGCTTGATCTCTTTTTCTTCTTGCACCAGTGATTCTATCCTAATGCCTTGCCCAAAGTGCAGCAGCTTCAGCAGGGGTAATGGAGAGTGTTCCCTTTCTCCTTATCCTCCCAAGCAGTCTCTGTATAGCAGAGATTTCCAAGGTGTGGCTGGCTGGACATTAAGCACTTGTACTTGGCTTTAAAGGGAGTTTTAACATTGTGACCATCCCTGTCAGAGCCAGCAGATTGTCTGCTCTGTGGCATCTCAATGCTCTTTTGTTCAGATGTGCCAGAAGTGGTCTGAACTGGCAGCTGCCAGGCAGGTTCCTGTCGGGCCTCTGCTCGGTGCTTAGCTCTAGGCAGCTCCCAACACACTCCTCTGGATCTTGGTTTTCAGTACCTAATTCTACCCTACTACTGTATGGGGATCAAAGGCACAGAACACAGGATCCTGGGATCCAGGCCACTCAACGTGTCACATTCATCACTGCAGTGTTTGTTTTTCTTTTTGGATATTTACTTAGGATTTTTGTGTTGATTAAATGAATATGAATACTGTAGTTTTCCTTTTATTTGCATACACCTCCTATCTAGTATGTTGCATGCATTTTGAGATTTGAGGGTTTAATTCTTGTGGCTTTGAAAGAAATCTTCCCGTTTGGAGCAGATTGTAAATCAAGACTCGTTTTATTTCAGAAATGAGAAAGCAGGCAGGGTAAGACTATGAAGTAGAGACATTTCAGACAATATATTGACAAGAAGAACTTTTTTAACTAGTCTTATGTCTTTTTTCCTGCTTTTTTCTAGCAAAAGGTTTTGAAATTTGGTAGTTTTGTTTTACCATCAAAATATTTATAAAAGAAAAAAATGTGTTCACCACCTATAACCACAGTCAGAATGGTGGAAAGTCAAACTATGCAGACATAAAAGCTCAACTACATGTCTCTGTTTATTTAAGTCCTGTACCATCAACTAATCTTATGTGCTTGACTAATTATAAGAAGGTAGCAGTTTTCTTTCTTTGTATGTTTTGAAAGACAAAGAATGCTAAAATGTTGATGTCAAGCAGGCTGTTAAAGTGATTTTGTTGTTGTTGTTGTTCTACATTTGGACTACTTCAAATACTAACTGCTAAAGGAATGTTCAAAACTTCACATCATGAAAAATGTCCATAGTACTTCAGATTCACAGTGAATGTTGTTATGATGATCATATTCTAACCCGTGTACTACCTAATACCAGACCTTATGGTTTTTTCAGTTGTCACTACTGAAGATACCTTTTTTTTTTTTTTTTTTTTTTTGCATAGGGAACACCAATTCAAGGAAGTAAACTCAGACTGCCAGGATATCTATCAGGGAAGGGTTTCCACTCTGGAGAAGACAGCGGCATCCTGTCAACAGCAGCTACCAGAGTTAGAGCTCAGTTTGCAGGTGAGTGTTTTGACTTTAGAGCTTGATCTACTGCTTGTTTTGTTTTCCACCTGAATACTTAGGGTCACGTTAGAGTGTGAGGGAGATGTCAGAAGAGTGGGAAGGAGTGAAAGTCCCGCATGAGTATTGCCAAGGGTGCACATAATCAGGATAATGGTCCTCTGTTCACATGGTTGCACAGCAGGTACATTCAGCTCTGAATGTGCAAATTCACGACTGCAACCTTCTTGACAACGGTATCTCCACTGTATCTGCCTAAGGAACTAGGGAAGAAGCATTTACTTAAAAAGAAAGGGTTCAGTTCTTCACAGTATTCAAGTTATGCTCAACTGTGGTGGAGCAAAGGGGTCACTTAATCATGACGTGTCCATTTCTTTTGAATGAAGAACTGCAGAGAGCAGCTGTAGATGACTTTATTAATGGAATATCGCATAGAGTAGATAGCTCTACTGGCTTTCCCTCACATCTTAAGCTCTGCAGAGCATACTGAACAGTACTGGAAAATCCTGTTCAAAGAGTAGATGTCTTTTAAGTTATAGGTGAAAAGTGAGCCACCTGAGATTTCTGTTTTAACTTGGTGTTCTTCACACATACAGGGAACCAGATTTGTCGAGATCAAAAAGATTCAATAAGTAATTGGAAAATTATGAAAAACCACATTAATGTTTTTCTGTTTAAGATTCTTTGTGGTGGTTTTTTCTTCATGGCACATTGTCTGGGCAGGCTTTCACTTTAGCAGGCTTGTTGAGAGCTCATTTACTCAGCCCTTTGTTTGGGAGAATGTGTACTCTGCCCTTGTTTTCCTGCAGCTTGCAACCGTATGGTTTTGAAAAAAAGAGGGGTACACATTTAAAAATTGGGATATTTATCTGCATCTCCAAGGTACATATATTGGAAAATCCTGAATGCATGAAAAGGTCAGATACTGAATTCTTTCAATTCATAGCTGAGAAAATGGCAGGGGAAAGAAAGGATCTGGCTGTTGAGTGAATATACAATGCATGTCTAGCAAGTCAAGAAAAGTTGCCAGGATAATACATTTTTAATGAGATGTGCTAGTGATGAATTAACTATGTCTCAGCATTTGATCTCACATTTCCTTCTCTTTAGTGGGAGATACTGCATTGTTTTATGCTCTTGTTTAATAACAAGATGAACTTCGATCATCGTCTAGCTTGCCTGCCAGAGGTCTAAAGTTTAGTTTGTGCAATGAGGAATTTTTGGGGTTGCCAAAGACCTAGGAAAGACCTGCACACCTTTTCCATCCTTACCTCTAATACTGATGGATATCTTTTCTCTTTCTAGAAACCAGAAGAACTCCAAGCAGACCTGGAAGCCGAGCAGGAAGCAAGGCTGGCAGCAGGTCAAGCAGCCGCCGAGGCAGTGATGCATCTGACTTTGACATTTCAGAAATCCAGTCTGTATGCTCAGATATGTCAGAGACTGTTCCTGCTACAAGCAGACCGACACCCCGAGCAGGTTCTCGGCCAGGATCAGCCAAGCCTTCTAAAATTCCAACTCCCCAGAGAAGGCCACTAGCCAGCAAATTGGACAAGTCCTTGAAGAGATAATATGATTGGCTCCATAAAGGTCTTTTCCTTTTGCATTAAGTATTTAAGTTCGTAAGATGTAAAATATTATGTAGAAATTATTGTGAAATATCGCAAGAGGTGGATTTTTAATTCTGCAGATGGCCTTATTTGTGTATTTGTCTTCTTATTTTATCTGTATAATTTTTGTCAGATTTGTTTTTGTTTATGCCATATCCTGTGAGAAGGGGGAAGAGTTTTAATGTAAACTAACAGTTGTACACAATAATGTGTAGAAAGTACACTAAAAATAATTGCCGAATGTACAGTGTACTGAATGTACAGTAAGTCTCTGCAACCTAAATAAAATAGGCCTATCGCTATGTCATTAGTTAACAGTAAAGGATACCTCATGATTTTTCTTTAAAAAAGAAAAAGAGAATACTAAAAAGCCAAAAGACACAATTACACATTTTGAGCCAACTAAACAAACACTAAAGGATGTATGTCAAAACTACTAAGGAATACAAACCCATCTTCACAGTACCCTTATTTATACAGCATCTCTCAGAGAACTCACAGAGTTAATTAAGCACTCTCCAGTAATATGATGCTCCAATACCTTGCAGCATTTCTGTGCCATTGCTTTCAATGAGGCCAGACACATTCTGGATATCTGAACTATTATTCTGTAAGAATATCAATATAAAGTGCATTCATGTAAATGTGAGGTTTTCTTTTGCTTGAGTGGATGGTAGCACTGTATCATTGAACTCATTTTGTATCAAAGCAATTTTGCTTGCAGAAAGCTCCAAAATAAACATGTCCCTTAACTTTATTTCTATTGTATTTCTTATTTCACAGGAAGATAATTTTCTGCATTATGTTTTAGGACATGTATCATTTCAGATGACCAGTAATTACCATAGTAACATAGGCTCTAATGTAATTTCCCATTATCAGCAATCAGATTTTGGTTAGCTACTGTATTTGTTTAATAAAACACTAAATTGCACATATATAATTTATGAAATTATATATAATTATTGTGTGTTGACAATTATTTTCTCCATATTAAACTGTGACATTTATATACCATGTATGAAAGGCATAAAGAGTAATTCAGTTGCTCTTTTTGTCAGTGAAATATTTCTGCCATTCATGGATTCTTTGAAAGGATTAGTAATAGTTCATTTTCAGTGGAAAAAGGCTGCAGCTTCAAATGGGAGTGCTGTAGAATGGCTGGGTAGATGCTGTAGTAAGTAGTGACAGATGCCCTAGAAATTCAAAATGCTCTTTGATAATATCAAAAAGACTCAGGTAGAATTTGGTCAACACAGCAGGCCAAATAGTCTAAACCTGACCATTCATATATCAGAAAATGCCATACCTTTAGTAGAGGAATTTTAGGGGAAGACTGGTTTATGGTTGGTCCCTTAGCATGCTGAAAGTGAAGCAGAAGTTCAGTTGATTACACAGGTAATGGTGATACCTGCATTCTCTGCTAGCTCTTACTGGCAGTATTACTAAGATGGTATTTTCTGAGTTGTCACAAGAGCTTCCTGCAGACTCACAAGTTGACTCACACAATCAGTTTATAAGAAAGAGAAAAACAAAATAATACTCAAAAGATAATTCAGTCAATCAAAATCCACTTGTGTCAGGATTTCCACCAACACAGAATTGTATGAGTGTGTAGGGAGAGCAGACAGTAACCAGTCCTACTGCAGCTGGTTTGGGAATCAGCACACACATTTGCTGAATACTAAAGCATCAGTCTCTGCTGTGGTGCTTTATCTTTCCATGTTTCACCTCTCCTGTTGCTGCTATTTGTCCAGTGTTTGCTTTCCTAAAGAAAGAAAGAGGGTAGAATTTAAGGCACTTGCACAGATAACCTGGCTGTAGGAGGAGATGATGCCCCATTCTTGGTGCATTTTATAACCACAGGACTCATGGAGAAGGGGTAGGGATGGCAAATCTGAATCACTCCTATGCAATAGGTGCATAGTTCAGTTCCTTGTATCCCAGACGGACACAGCAGCTCATTCTGCACAAGGTAGTGTTGGCACATACCTGAAGCACCTTGTGGATATATTGTGGTCTTAGCTTTAAAGGTATTCATAATACTTCGTTAATTATGCAACATTTTCATGTTGCTACATTGTAACTTTACAGAAATGTTAGAGCTGTGGCCAGCTTCTGAGAAACCCAATGTCGGCTAAAAGAATCCAAGGATTAAGTGGATTTCTGTGGCTTGTCGGCTATTGCAAAACAGGAGGCTGGGACTGGCAAAGTGGGGAAGTTCATTTATGGGCTTGAGAGAATCATCCAGCATTGGAAACCCAAGTAATAATAAATCAAATGGGATTAGGAATTCTGTTAAAGAAAGCCCAGATCTTTCTCAAGATGTTATACCTTACTTAATTACCTTCTTCAAAAATCATTTAACTGCTTTAGAATGATACTAAGAACTCCCAAAACCAAGAGACTTTCCAAAATCCTGTGCCCTGTGTTACAAAAAATCATACTGACAGAAGTCTGAAAATAAACATCGGATCCTCTGCGCTTCTCTGACCCAAGGACAAATCTGTAGAATTTGATGAAGAAAGCATACTGTGGACTTCCCAGTAAGTGACAGGTATCTCAGTTTTAGTGAACTGTTTTTGTAAAGAAAGAAGTGGTATTCAATTTCCATCCTGCTGTAATTCAAAAATATTTCTTCTTTGGTACCAGCAGAAATGAGAGAGGAAGGATCAGCCCTATAACCAACTCCCCACCTTGTTCAGTGGCATGAGTTTTTGCATAACCTCATCATCGGAGATGCATTTTTTCCCTTTTATTATCCTCCTCCTAACAACACGAGCTGATCCTAAATTCACCCAGCCTGCTGGATGACCGTAAGTAGAGTCAACCTTTTAGTGTGACCTAGACTTTTACACCTTGTTGTGGTTTAACCCTAGCCAGCAAATAAACCCCACACAGCTGCTCGCTCACCCCCACCTCTGGGGTGGTGGGGAGAGAATGGGAGGGCACAAGTAGGAAGACTCCTAGGTTGAGATAAAAACAGTTTAATAACTGAAATAAAACAAAGTAGAACAGTAGTAATAACAATGAGAACAACAACAATAACAGAATATACAAAGCAGGCGATGCACAATGCAACTGCTCACCGTCTGCATCTCACGAACGGGGGGCGAACCCCCCCCACACCTGGTTTTTATACTGAGCATGATGTCACATGGTATAGAATACCCCATTGGCCAGCAGGGTCCACCACCCCAGCTGTGTTCCCCCCGCCCCAGCTTGCCCTGCGCGTGGCAGGGCATGGGAGGCCGAAAAGAGAAAACACAAGACTCCCCCTGCAAGCACCAGCCAGCAACAAACAAAGCATCAATGGGACATCAACGCTTCTCTCATACCAAACCCAAAACACAGCACACCCCCCAAGCTACTGGGAAGAAAGTTAACTCTGTCCCAGCTGGAACCAGGACACACCTGTATATTCTGTGATTCTCCAGTGCAGTGAAGGAGCAGAGGTGATGGGAAGAAGGGTTGGAAAGCCTGTGGCTGTGAGAATTGTATTCTTTAGTGAATACTGTATATTTAGCACTTGGAAAAGCTGGCTCAGTTCTAGGCTCCTTTACTTTTTCAGTCGTTCTCAGATTCTGCATTTCTGTTTTGCTGCCTTCAAAATGGGAAAGTGTCCATAGAATTTTCTGGAATCTGCAGATGAAACCTGTAGGTAAAAAATACACCACTAGAAAAGCTAGTGATGCCTTGTGGCCTAGGCTTGTTCAGTTTAGGTATTTTGTGAGCCTCTTAATTACATGCTAATATAATAGATGACAGTAATTCCGGCTTTGCCTGCAGCACATCTCTTCACAAAAGCGTAGGGATGAGGTTATATGCAATCTTAATTTAAAAATTAATGCATTTCATAAAAATAAACTCTGATGCTATACCATACCATAGTCAGCAGCAATGTTTGAACCTGTAGCTGCCTCTGCTATGTCTGCCATAGGACTGGCAAGACTATCTACGCCCCCCAGCTTGCATATGAGAGAGGGGCCATAGTGCTTACATATGTTGGTCACAGTGTGGCAAGAGGACACACTGCTGAGTGCTTGCTGTAATATTCTGTAAATAACCACAGGGATGGAAAAGGAGCATTACCTGGTTTGCTGCATCTCAGCACAGCTGCCCTAACAGCTTCCAGGTGTTTCCAGTTCTTAGGCTGTATGGCAGCATCTGAGCCCATCCTAGGCTAGGGGTATTTAGCTAGATGTTTGCTCTAACAATGGGCCATAGTAGGGAGTGGTGACATTAGGAGGTTTATATCTTCATCAAGGTGAGTGGAATTTTGTAGAACAAAGAAAAGGTGCTTTCCTAATTAAAATTTTTCTCTCTGCTGAATTTGAATAACTTGTTTGCAGACACGGAGGTGGGAGAGATGGTTGGCTTGGTTGCTTGCTTGCTCTTTTTTCAATAGTGTTGTCAGGTTAAATGCAGGTAGGTTACTCATCTCTATAGAAAAAAGTTGTATTATTTGTTAAAATGGGGAACATTGCAGAGGAAAAGGGAGCTCTTCAGAAATAATGGATGAGGCAGCAGCTTAAATGTCAGGTAACTTGCATGAAAATGCTTGGTGGCCGATACTTTTGAGGTATTTTCTATGCAGATTGAAGTCCTTCTGTTAAGACTTGTTCAAAGTTTGGCTGTTGCAAATGAAGTGGTATCTGACCTGAGGCTAAAAGAGTCTTGGGGGTTGTCATTTCATAATTAAGTAGTTCTTCTGAACTGAAATTGTTCAAATAGTCTGAATTGCAGCTCGGGGTGCTCAAACTGCGTTTCTGTATTTGAAGATAAAAAAGATGAAGGTGAATTGCGTAACTTAGCTGGCATCCTGGATGACTACGTATGAGAAAGTTAAATGATGTGTTCTTAGCACTGGGATGATTGAATATGGGTAAGAACCCCAAACCATAAATCAGGCCTTGTCAACATCTACAATGTTTTTTGTTCCTCTGGGAGGAGGCAGCCAGAGTGGTGATAGCTCTGTCCTGACAGGAAAAGCTGGCTTGAAGCTTTTTGTGGGTCATGATGGTCTTTCCAACACTTAGAAAAATATCCAACACCATTAATTTTTTTTTTTTTTTCCTCTTTTTGGGGCTTGATCATAGCTCTTCCAAGTCCTCTTTTATTGGCAGAATAACCTAGGGACTTAGGGAAGAGTTTGCACTGTCTGGGCTATTTTTAAAGGCAATGAGTTCATATGATAAAGAAATATCTCTATATTTAAAAGCCTGTGATCAAAGTATAAGATGGGAAACAAGTCAGTTCAAAACGAGGATAAAAAAAATAGGCTTGTAAATACTGCAAATATTGAGCAACTCCACATTTGCTGATCAGAAGAGAGGGTGTGGCTTCTCTTCTAGCAACACTGATTTGAAGCTTTATAGACCAAGTCAACAAAACAAGGTGATCAGGAGTAGGTAGTGTTCACGAAAGGCTGCCACGGGAACTGAAGGGTGAAGTAGCTGAGCTGCTACCTGGAGTCCTCTCATTTCATGTGAACGTGAGAGGATTGGAAAGTGTCTAACAGGTATGCAAGCTTTTTCTTAAAAGGTACTGGTAAGCTCTGGGAAACTGCTAATCAGTTGAGACTTGAAAAAATGATAGAGGCAATAATAAATTATATATTAGTGGAAACCTGAATAGATATACTATGGAAGAGTTGGCTTAGCTTCTAGAGGGAAGTCACGCCTTACAAGCTGCCTGGAAGCCCTTAAAAGGATCAATTAGTGTGGACAAAGGTTGAGATAGACCACATGGCTTTCCAAATTCACAAAGAAGTAAGCACTTACGGGATCGAAAGAAAGGCCTTCGTGAGGTTAAATAGCACCTTAAAAGCTAGGAAAGACAGTGTAGGAGAAGGTGGTCAGTTTTAACAGAAGAGAGAGATCTGCAGTGGAGCCCTTGACAGGTTTTAATACAAAGCTGCAAACGCTGGCTCAGAAGTTCCTG